AAAAATCTTTTAATTTTATCTTTATCACAATATATGGTTATTAAGTTGTTCTCGCGTTTTCGTAAATCACAGGGGTTCTCGTTTGAACCCTTCCCTATATATATATATATATATATATATATCTTGCTTTTGACGTGTAGTTCAATTGGTAAAGTGACAAAATGACTTTGCTCGAATACATTTAGATATACCAAATGAATGTATTTTTGGTCAGGGGTCCAAACAACTCTCGCGTACTCGTGAACCGAATCGTTAACTTACTTTAACTCATCAAAAAGTTCACGAAACAAGGTTTCGGAAAACGAAACCCACAACCACATCTTCATTTCTTCTCACACAATAAATCAAATCCGTAAGATAGAAAAATATTAAACAAATAAAAACACATGTACCAAAATTCACCATTGATTCCACAAAAAGAACTTCAAAAAGCATTCAAACATCCAATTTCTTTACGAGAAAGCCAGTCTTGAAACAACCAATAGCGTCTATTCCTTTGCGACGAGATCATCACAAAACCAAAATGCATCGAAAAAACCACTCGACAAATCTTGGTTACCGAACACCACCCTGTTACAGACTCATCACTAACAAGCATAAACCGTTTGAAGAGACTATCGATAACAGTACAGACATAATCATGTCTAAACTATCGAAAATCCAAGTAACCCACGTAGGTTACTGGGATTTTCACAAAAATAAGAAAACAGAAGTGTATATATCGGAAAATAGCCATCAACGGGCTAGCTGCGTTCCGAAATTGCAGCAATAGAATCTCCGGTTCAATATCTTCGGGCCGATCTACATTATAAAAGCCAGAGAAAAAGCTCACCATGAACGATTCTGCTATATTCATTAATGAATAGAATGAATGCACACACATTATTGCTATGAATCTTAACAATAACCTTGAGATATATCAGAACAAGAGCTTCAATTCAGCCATGAAAATGCTTCCAATCTGATGATCAAGAAAGAGTCATATGAGAGAATCAAATTTTACGGACGATTATACTTTTAACAAACAAGCCCAGAAAAAAAAAACAAGAACGATTAACGATCCGAGTTAGATTTCCAAGAGGACCCATGTAGAAATCTTCTCCTGTGAATAACAAGAAAATCTGAATAATTAAGATGATAGTTCAGATCCTGATGAACACTAGTGGTTCATTCAGAATTTTAGATGGAAAACAACCAACCAAACCAGCTTCCTAAATCTGTTCCAAGATCATCGTATCATCATCATCACATCTTCAATCACCATCTTGATGTACCTAACTACAAAGATCAAGAACCAACATCAATGGAAGATCAAGAAATGGTTATTTTCATGTGTTAAGAACTGTTAGAAGCAAGAACCCGCTTCTTATTTCGGGTTTGAACCCAAGAAATCCAACTTTTCGGCCAAGAAATCCACATCTTCATCTCCGGTGATCGTACCACCTTGTTCGTCGGATCTTTCGCTAAACAACTCTTCCCAGAATTCGTCATCGAGTTCTCTCTCCCCGCCCTCGAACTCATCCCGTTCTTCTTCTTGGTTTCTTTTCGATCTTCCAAACCCTTGGATTTCTAAAGCAAGTGCCTCGAGTTCGGAAACCTGAAATCCAGAAGAATCCCCAAATTCTTCAGGTTCGGATTTAATCAACTTTGACCCGCCAGAAGTTTGGCTCGGTTCTCCATTGTTAACACCTCGAAGCTCTCGAGTGTGGTTCATGAAAGCTTCTTCAAGTTCCTTTCTTTTAGCATTTTGGACTAATTTCTGGATGAAATCCGGATTCTGCATAGCTTTCGCCAAGAAACTCATCATCTTTTGCTGTTTTTTCTCCGTTCCTTGAAGCCTCACCTCCATTGCCTGAAGTTGCGCCCTCGTGTTTTGCTGCTGTTGTCTGAGCTTCATTAACTCCATCGTTAAAACCTGCTTTTCGTGTTTCAAACGCCCGACTTCATCTAATCCAAACGTTCCAACCTCAATACCTGAACCAACGCCTTGTGGAAACAAAGCTTGCGAATTTGGTGCCCGTCTTCTCTTGATGTTCTTCAAAACGTGCCTCTGGCCTCTCACGAACGCTTCGTTTGCAAACTCCCATATATCAGGATCTATCTTTCTAAAACCCTGCGTTCAGAAACCGAAAGCCCTGAAGCTAACAATTTCTGAGAAAATATAAATACATACGAATAGGTTTCTATCATCAGCTAACTTATCAGCTAATGTTACAAATGAACGAAGTTCATTTTCTTTATACTATTTTTCCTCTTTTCTTCATTCATCATATTATGAGTCTCATCTTTCGCGGTAAATAGGGCCCACAATCGCATCTTCTTCTTTCTACGCGTAAACGAATCAGATAAAATGAAAATGTTAAATGGCCAAAAGATACAGGTTCATAGTTTTCAATAATCAAATTGAACAAATAAGATATTATTTCATTGATGATATGTAAGAAAATAGCAACCATGTTTGATAACTTCCCTCATTGTAATCTTTTGGAATTCGGGAACAGCTTTCTTCTCCAATCAACTAAATGTAAGATTAGAGAGGGGCTTAATAAAAGTGAAAGTTCTAAACCCTAAACACTAAGGGCTGTTTGGCAGTTGCTGAATGGTTTGATGCAGAATGATTAAGTGGTCAGAATGATTAAGAGGCTCTCATGATATAACAACCATGTTTGATAACTTCCCTCATTGTAATCTTTTGGAATTCTGAAACAGCTTTCTTCTCCAACCAAGTAAATGTAAGATTAGAAAGGGGCTTAATAGAAGTACAAGTTCTAAAACCCTAAACACTAAAGACTAAGTTAAAACACTGGATAAGTGGATATAAACCCTTTTGCTTGATTCTGCAAAGACTATTAACATATTCAAGAAAGGAAATTGGGATTATGCAACAGTGACAATTCTAACAGATATGAATCAAAATCTAAGGGGCAATTTGGTAGTTGCTGAATGGTTTGGTGCAAAATGATTAAGTTGTCAGAATGATTAAGAGGCTCTCATAATATAGTGCAAAATAAAATATAATTGTTTAGTTATTGTTTACAATGAAATTAAGGTGCTGAATGGTTAAGGGAGACAAATTATTTTTTTTTGCCAAACAAGATTCTACCTCTTAACGATTCAAACAACCCCTAAGTTTTCTATTAAGTCATCTGTTAGCTAAGCTGACAAGATGGATTAATCTGTCTATATAGATTGAGAATCTAGATGGAAGGAGCATGCTTTTTAACCAAAAAAGACAGATTTAATGAAAACTTGACTTTTTGCATAAAACTCCCTAGGAGTTTATCCGATAAGTCACTTTCTATATCTTTAAATCACTACAAAAAATCATGTATGACTGACTGAATAAGCTGGGAGTCCTATTAAACTCATAAGTAGTTAACAAACATGCCCAAAAAGTTGTCCACTAATTACATCAAAACCAGTTTGCCAGAAAGCGAGCCCAGGTTCGAATCCGGAGGTGCCAAAGCTTTTTTGGCCGCCGTTGTGGCCATGGAGGTTTACGGTTTACCTGCAATGACTCCATGCCATTCGTGATCATCCGAGGCCTAAGCTCCCCCGGATACCACAATTACCAAAAAAAGAGACCTAAAGAATTGCACCCATTAAACGCTATCCTAAATATATGTCACCTATTTCATAGTTGAAAGATTCAAGATTTGCCCCACTTCAAGTAAACTCTAGCCAGTATAAGTTAGGTTCAATTTAAACCATAAGAAGGTGGGGACTTACATAAGTATTGAGCTGTCTCACAAAGCTAGAGAAATTGTTGTGCTTGAAGTGTCTGGGAAGGAGGTTAGTAGAGAAAGCATATGGATCCAACACAACAAAGCTTTGACCTCCTCTGCTCCAAGAAACAATGTGGTCAATGGTTTGGTCCTCCACCATATCATAGATTTTTGTCAAGAAAGGTGGAGGCCCAGCATCATGAAGACCCTCCATTGGTTGGGGAATTTGAACCATCATGGACTGCTTATTTACTTGTGTACCACTACTGCTACCACCATCACTTAATGGGTACTCCTCTTTAACAACTGAGTAGAAAGGATTCATAATGAATTCCTCTAAATCAACAATCTTTTTCTAATGGGTGTGTACCAAGATAGTAAAACTAAACAAATTAGAGCAAGACGAGTCACAAATCCACAATCTTTTTGTTGAAAACGCAGATGGGCTCATCAAAAGTTGCAGCAAAACCTAGAAAGAAGAAGATCAAGGTTTGCAATAAAACCATAGAACCAAACAAATTACAGCAAGATGAATCACAAATCCACAATCTTTCTTTAGAATACTCAGATGGGTTTATCAAAATTTGCAGCAAAACCCAGGAAAAAAGAAGAAAATTTACTCCAGAACAATCAAACCAAACAACTCACAGAAAGATGAATCACGAATCCAGAGTCTTTTCCTTGAAAACTCAGATGGGTTCATCAAAAGTTGCAGCAGAACCTAGAAAGAAGATAAAAGTTTGCACTAAGACAATAAAATCCAAACAACTCACATCAAGTCGAATCACAAATCCACAAATTCTCTGATAACTCAGATGGGTTCATCAAGATTTGCAGCAAAACCCAGGATTAAAGAAAAAGAGCTCAATGGGACAAAAGATCAAACAGATGGTGGACAGAAACACCAAATCCAACTTAGATCAGGGGTTTTAACAACAATTTCAGTTAGAAACAGATGACATAAATGGATTCTGGAAGAAAGACAAGATGATATGACATTTGAGGAAAGATTTTGATAACAGCCAGACTCATTGCTGGCTCTTGGCCATCCCCTTTGGGAAAGTTTTCTTTTACCAAATTGGTGGGTTAATTCTTTTTTTGTAAAACATACACAAATGCAAAAAAAAAAATGCAGAGTTTGAGGGTTAAGAAGGAAAGAAGAAGAAGGTTCTAGACATAGAGAGACTCCTTATGAGAACCTTCTCTTCCCCATTATTATTTTATTTTATTTAAAAATGTTTCTATTGGTTTCTTTTAATTATTGAATAGAAACAAAGCGTGGGCCTTTATTCCTCCTATAAACGGAGATGTCACATTTTATTTTATTTATTTATTCCAAAAACCCTATATTATTGGGTGTTTGTTTATCTCTTAATAGTTTAATTAAGAGATAATCTCTGAATCGTTAAGAGGTGAATTTGTTTGACAAAAAAAAAATCTGCCTCTTAATAGCTCTAGTACCCCTGAATGATTTTGTATCATGGATCTCTCTTAACCGTTAAGAGCCTTAATTTCATTATACACAATTACCAAATAATTATATTTTATTTTGCATTATATAATGAAAGCCTCTTAATCATTCTGACTATTTAATCATTCCACACCAAACTATTCAACAATTGTCAAACAGCCCCTAATACTATATTATAAAACATTTGGTTAAAACTCTTAAAAACCATTTTTAATGTATCAAGTATTATTTGATTATGCATGTTACTTAAAATTCAATATATTACAAGTAAATGATATACTAGTACAACTTTTAAAGTTATATGTTTAAATTCATATAACTAACTGATAAACATAATTAAATACATTATAAACATTTCATTTTAAATGATATAATCAAAATAATTATTAAGTTTTAATAGAATAATTAGTTGTTATTTTTATAAAAAATTATATTAAACCATAAATTACTTCAATTTTAAACTTAAATTAAATTATAATAAAAGATTGTACTAGAAATTATCTTTAGAAAAAACATTATATTATTAGACCGAAAATAAATTACTTCGTTATTACACCTAAATTTTTTCATATAATATTTTTTTTTGATAAACTTGTTTCATATATGATTGAAATTGTTTCATATAATATTTATGAAATTCTAATAAAACTGTTTCATGTATTTTTTAAAATTAATATAATGAAGATGATAATATCCATGATTAATACCCTCCACAATAAAAATGATTAATCAACTTCTTATAATTACAAATAAATGAACAAAATGAAAAATTATGATTGATTGAATGAGCTTTGTACAAATAACGTGATTTGCAAAGTAAACCCCCTCCCTCCCCCCTCTCTATCTATATATATAGAGAGAGAGAGAGGGAGGGAGACTTGGGATCTTGTGAGCCCAACATGTTTTCGTGAGTATTATATGACCTTTTTTTATGTAGATCATATGTTTCGCATTGGACATCATATCTGATAATCGTACATCAAGATTTATTGAAAATACTGATATCACGTTTGATAAAGAAAATACATTGATTAAAAATAATTTCAACCCCATTTTTTTATGAACACCCAACTCTGATCACCTAACGAGTTATTACTTGCACTTACATAAAATCCACCAGGTCGAATGGACCAGTAACAATCAGAATTAGTAAATGCGGGTACCGCACATATGTCTACAATCTTTGTATCAAAGAAAGCCAATTCTTGATATCTCGAACCCCACCAGAAGTAGCTATAGAAAAGAGTTTTACCATCAAACCTGTTACAAAACGACCATTCATATTCTCCCTTAAACCGAATGGTATGGTTTCCAAGATCATCGTCTCCAGATTTGATATGAGCAACGATGTCATTTGATATGTCACTCATAACGTGAACTCGCCATTTATGGCCAAGGAAACACGCGTAAGTTATCGAAGCACATGAGTATGTTACGATGACAAAGATGAACAAGTGACGGATCTCCATCTTTCGAATTAAAGGTGTGTATGAGTCCTTATGGAGGCATATGTAAATATATATACACAAACACACTGATATACAATTTGAAGCTCTTTTCATGATAATTGAATTATATCATATGTTGAAACTATATTTATTCTGTTTCGTATGTTTTCAGTAATTATGGGTTACATTTTATAAAAACTCAGTTGACTCGGGACTTGAAAATGTTAACGATTTGGAAAATAAATGAAGTGATGACTTCTGATTTATTTTGTCGGTTCACCAATTGGTCTTTTTATTTGTATTTAAAATCAGGATGAACATGGTCGAATAGGATGAAACAGCTTTATGGTCCATGCTAGAGGTGATCATTTGCGGGTTTGGGCCGGACCTAACTTTTTTTTTTTTTTGTCCAATGTGCCTAATATTGTAAACCCACGTCCATTTTTCAGGCTTGACAACTTGCCATTGTCCGCCCTATAAACAGACTGGGCTTGTCCACGGGTTAACGAGCCTAAAAAGTGTAACTCTTATAAATCTATAAATTTGATCACTTGTAATTAATTAACAAATGTTGAATCAAACAGTACAGGAAAAACACCGTTGCAATTAAAATTTTAAGCAACTAAAGTGACATGGATCTCAACAAGTGGAGAAAGAAATGAAAAAAAATCAACCACTTAGCCTTTTGGGTTCTTAAGAATAACCAAAGAGTCTCATCCTATAACTTTAATAGTTTAATTTTAAAATATACTAATATAATTTTAATTAATGGTAAACAAAATATTAATTATAAAATATAAACGGGCTGGACGAGCCTGTCCATACAGGGGCGGATGGCCATAGGCGCCTTGGCCACTGGGCTTTTTTTTCCCGATAAAGTAAAACATCTTGAGTCCCTTAATGTTTTAAGTATAAAATTCTTTTGAACTCCTCCACTATTGTTGATCCAGTCTATTTGTGTTCCGCCTCTGATTACATATACTTATTAGTTTAATCATATCAAGAAACTTTTATTATTTCAATTATGTATTTAATTTACATTAATTATTTTTAGTTTTTAATTAATACAATATAGATATAACTCGATCTTTTTACACTTTTCTTGGTTTAAATAAATAAATATTCGTAAATAAAGTTATCCTAATATTTGGTTCGATTATTTATAACTATTTAATGATATATATATATATATATATATATAATTTTTAGGTGAATGATCGTGTGATAATGACAATTAGGTCATATTAATGATTTTTTTTTTTGTTTTTTTTGAGTCTACCGAATAATACACATACAACTTGTCAATTAATCTAATTGTAGTTGTAATAATTACGAGAAATACAACTATCCAGTTAGAATAAACGAATTATTGTATCAGTTTTACCGAACAAGTAGTCGTTAATTGCCTAAAAACCACCTTAAACGTCTAAACATAACATTATATATACGTAAAAAATTCAAAAATCATGCAATTTTTGTCAAGTTCTTTTTAACATAATGATTATATGCATTTAAATGCATCAAAGTAGTTTAAAACGTTAACATATAACTGCGTTTGTTGTCTTTCGGTTTATATCATCGACCCATTTGGCACTATGCGTAGAAACTTTTCTTAAATACGATTTTTATTTATGCTTTGATAAATTCATGTAGATGACATCAATAATTACTGTAAAAACAAACTTTCTTATGTAAACCAGATGTTTCACACAAGATAAATAAGCATCATATCCAATAGTCATATATCAAGATTTATTTATATATTAATATCATGTTTGATAAAGAAAATACATTGATCAAAAACAGTTTCAACCCCAATTTTTTATGAACACCCAACCCTGATCACCTAATGAGTTATTATATCCACTTACATAAAATCCAGCAGGTCGTACGGACCAATAACAAGCAAAATTTTTGTATGTGGGTAGCGCACATATGTCCAGAATCTTCGTATCAAACAAAGCCAGTTCTTGATACTTCGAACCCCACCAAAAGTAGCCATAGAAAAGAGTCTTGCCATCAAAATTCTCACAAAATGACCATTCATATTCTCCATGAAACGGAATGGTATGGTTTCCAAGATCATCGTTTCCAGATTTGATATGAGTTACGATATTATCTGATATATCACTTATAACATGAAGATGCCATTTATGGTCAAGGAAACACGCATAAGTTATCGAAACATATGAGTATGTTACGATGACAAAGATAAACAAGTGACGCATCTCCATCTTTTCAATTAACGTGTGCATTTGAGTCCTTACGGAGGCATATATATATATACATACACGTATGTAATTTAAAGCACTTTTATGATCATTTAAGATCATTTAATTAAATAATATGTTGAAACTCTGTTTCTCTTCTTTTGTATGTTTTCAGTTATTACGGGCTACGTTTCATACTAAAACTCATTTGATTCATGAGTTGATCGTGTAGATTATTTGGATAACAAAACTACAAGAAATCAAAGCTATAACAAAGACAAAGTGGTCGCTAAAGGTTAAAAAATTAACCATAAGGGTGGTGCCTTATTGGTTTAAGCTTGACTCCAAAGATCAAATGTACCACGAGGTCTTAGGTTCAAATCGAAGGAGGAATAAAAATTCCCTTGTGGCCACGGAGGTTCAAATGCAGTGACCCTAGGGACGATCCCCCCATGACCGAGGGTGATCCACGCAAAACGAGACTCGTACCCTTGATAATGCATGTGGGACCCACCAAAAATAGTTTTTTATAATATTTTTTGTACTTTTTTTGGTCAAACTAGGGGGATCGCCCCCATGGTCAACTATCGCCCCCAGGGGTGATTCGTGTGTATATTTTGGCAATTTTGTGAAAACTGGTTATTTCGTTAATATATCGGGTATATTTTGGTTATTTTGGTGATTTCCCCTTTGATCTATCTTCTAAGCAATCAGTTTTAGGAAATTCTTGAAATTTGGAGAATCTTATACTTTTGTCATTTTGGAGAAATTTTGAAAAATATGTTAGAGCAAAAATTTTTGCTCAAAATCCTCGTAATCTCATTTTAAAAAATCTGTTAGAAATAACTCTAATAAATACACTGTAGATATATGAAATTCTGATTATTATAATTTAAATATATGAAACAAAAGTTTATTATTTATGTTAATTTAAATATATTAACAACAT